ACCTTCTCATCAGTACTGTTGCTTTCAACTTTTCTTCAGGTTGCTTACATAGCACTATTGTATTAGTTCTTTCCAGGCTATCCTATCGATCCAGATTAATGTTCCAGTTCATTAATAGATTAATTGGGTGAGTTTCTCTGTCTCTTCATTATGTCTGGTACTCCATGAGGGTCTGGAGAAGTTGTGGGAACATAGGTTTAAGCGGATATGGGCAGAAATCAGGAAATTCAGTCGGATTCCTGGACCCAGTGTTAACTCCAAGGACAAATAGACCAAGGTAGTGACCAGGCATTTGTGATCATGAGTACCTGGAACCAGATATAGCACAAGGTTGAGCCTGCCTAGAGATAACCTGTATATTCAGTCTGGAATTCCTGTACCCTGCTATAGTACTGAATTGAAAAGACCTGAGAGGTTACCTGGAATTTGAATCCCCAGGGACACCTGTGAGTCAAGTTCAAGTGGGTCTTCAAAACCACAAGTACATCAAGACAATCAATTCCCATAACTATTAGGCTGTCTTGGTGCAAACTTGTGAAGTTCCTGGGGAATCCATGCCAGGGAAGCATTTAAGAGGAAGCTGGAGATTCAGACCCAGTTGGTAAAAGTTTGTGCAGACACCAAACACAGTCTGACAAGGAAACACAGCCATCTGCATGACTCTTTGCTAATTATACTTTCATTCCTATGGCACTTTCAGCACAGGAGTGTGTCCTGTTGATCAGCAGTCAGATGTGGACTGGCAGGGACTGGATCTATTTGTCGGCTAGGAGTCAGCACTCTTTTTTTTTTCTTTTTGCTTTTTGGGTCACACCCGGCAATGCACAGGGGTTACTCCTGTCTCTGCGCTCAGGAATTACCCCTGGCGGTGCTCAGGGGACCATATGGGATGCTGGGAATTGAACCCGGGTCGGCCACGTGCAAGGCAAACGCCCTACCTGCTGTGCTATTGCTCCAGCCCCGGGAGTCAGCACTCTTGATAATTATCTCTGTGATCCCAAATAGCTCAGCTACCTGCTAAGAGTGGGAGGAACGCTCAGGTTTTGTACATTTTCCCCCTTCAGTGTCTGTCACTATGAAACACGAGATATAATAGGGATGTGGCATTCATGGCATTATTACCAGCAACATGGAGAGAGATCACCAAGATGGTTCCTGCAGTGACGCTGATGTCTGCTTATTATACCCTAGAGTTTCTTGCCTCCAATTCCACTGTTGTAAGAGCAGAGCTGGGATGCTGGATATTTGGAGCTCACCAGGGTATGGCTTCAAGCCTTGCAGATCTCTTTCCAATTTCAGCCTGATGCCCCACAGTAGGTTTTCTTTTGGCAAGGGCACTTCTCTGTTTCCAATCTGCCTGAATGCCTTCTTGTGTGAAAATTATTTCACAGGCATTTCCGGTTGCCCCTGTGTAGATCAATGCAAGTTTTCATGTGGATTTGCTGTGATTTCAGGAGGAGATAAACACAAATTGTTTCCTATCATGGCCCTGCCCTTCTTTTCAAACTCATTTCTATTTTAGAAAAAGCATTTTGATGTGCCAAAGAAAACAAGATCCTTCAGATATTTTCAGTCCTCCAGTGTTGACATTGTTTTCTATTTTCTTTGTATCTCAATCGACTACCTAGCTCTATATTTGTAACTAATCACTACTTGACAAAAAGAACAGTAATAAACCTAGCCTTATTAAGTTTCACTAAATATCTCACTTTATAAATGCTATATGACATTTTTATTTTTTATTTTATTTATTTATTTATTTATTTATTTTTTATTTCGAATACCCATCCCTCCACCAGTGCCCATTTTCCACCACCACGGATCCCAGTATCCCTCCCTCTTCCCATAACCCCCATCCCACCCTGCCTCTGTGGCAGGGCATTCCCCTCTGTTCTCTCTCTCCTTTTGAGTGTTGTGGTCTGCAAAAGAGTTAAGCCTGATTTTCAGGGTGAATCGTTGGATGATTTACTTTCCATTGATCACTTTGTATATATAAGGAGATGTCGCGTGGCCGCATAAGCGGCCGCGTGGTTTGGAGGAAATGTCCTGGTTCCCCCGTGTCCAAGCTATGCTTGCAGAGACTCATGGTCATTGGGGTTCCATCTGGAGAAAGCAGGATGCGGCACCTACCCCATCTGGGGCCTCCTGGTGAGATCGGCTCTGTTTGGGACCTGGAGCATTCTCCGGGAGCTGTGGTGCCCTCCAGCAGTGTTCGTATATGACATTTTTTAAACTCAACTTCCAACCCTGCCACTCACAGAACCATATATTTGACCAGACTACTTAACGTTGTGAGATTCAATTTTCTTTTTATTTTTTTATTGACATAACATTGCAGGTTAATATTATATAGATTGTAGGTTAAGGCTATATAGATTTATTTTAGATGTACATCTGGTTGATTTAGCATTTACTAGAGTTTGGGAGGAAAGTAAACAAGGTCAAAAGGAGTCAATTGTATTGAACTTAATAACCCCATTCCGCTGTGAATATATATTACATATTCTTTATTGAATATGTAAGTTTCTTTGTGGTAAATCCAGAGCAACGATCCAGAGTTGTGAAAAGTAAGATTGAATTTACAGTTGTCTGGGAAAGTGTGTTTCCCCCACTTTCACTGGCTTTTGAATGAGAAAAAAAATGGCATTTTCCACTATTTTTAAGATAAAAAAGCAAAAACCCAGACAGGTTAATTTGTCCAAGGAACACAAAAGTTGGCAGTGAAATGATTTTTTTTCTTCACTTCCTCTCCACTTCCTTTCAAATAAACTGGCTGCCCTAATCCTGACCCATAAGTTAGCTACTTAACAAATGATACCATACTCATAGTAATGTTCATTGCCTTTGGAACAGATGCTCCTTTCTGCCAGGCATTATCTATGGTTAAACTCATACAAATCTAACCATTCAAGAGAGTTGTTTTGTAGTACCTGACTTATAAATTCAAACAAGAAAAGGAAAAAGAAAAGGTAGCCAATTCATTCAGTGGTTAACCTTCAGTAAAGGCCAGATCTGGAATATGAAGCCAATCATAAGACCCATACTCTTTCCATTTATTCTTTGCACTTTAAGTAATCTTTTCAATGGGGAAACATAAGTATGAACGTATGACAGAGTATTAGGAAAATTTACTCTGCACAGTCACTTAATGAAATGTATTAATTGAACCACCTCCAGCCAAAAATAAAATAAAATTGGGGCTGGAGCAATAGCACAGCCGGTAGGGCATTTGCCTTGCACGTGGCCGACCCGGGTTTGATTCCCAGCATCCCATATGATCCTCCAAGCACCACCAGGAGTGATTCCTGAGTGCAAAGCCAAGAGTAACCCCTGAGCATTGCCGGGTGTGACCCCAAAAGCAAAATAAATAAATAAATAAATAAATAAATAAATAAAACAAAATTGCCCATTTCTGTTTTTCCAAATTGCCACAGTTCTCAAGTAGTTCATCAGGCAATTCAGTGATGTGTCAACCCCTGATGTGTGAAGCAGAGGAAAGACACAGAAAAATAGTGTCCCTTCTCCACCTGTACAGTGCTGGATAAGGTGGGTTCAGTAGAACAAGTCCACCAAATGAGTGCCAAAGGCACATGGCTCCAACGCTGTTTTCAGGAGGAACATGCTGAACTGAGTCATTTGGGTGTAAACATGTGCTTCTCTCAGTGGAACTAGACTTCCTCCAGCAAGCTGTTGCAGAGCTATAAGCTCCACCAATCTGTTGGCTTGTGCGGGTTGACTCCCAGCTGATGTCTTTTGGTTGTTCTTGGCTCCACAAGTAAATGACCATACGGGAGTGATTGCAGTCATTTCCCCAACTTGGCAACCAAAGCTCCTGGGTGTTTACTGGGCGTGTTGAGTCCTGACAGCTCCTTCCAGCTCTCGGGAGAAACAAAGGCAGAGAAGCAAAAAAGAAAACCATGTGATGGACAAAAAAGAAAATATAGCGGCCTGTGAAAATTACAGTGACTAGCACATTTGCCTTGCATGTGACCAATCTGGGTTCAATCCTTGGGCTACATGTGATGCCCTGAGCACTGCCAGGAGTGACCTTGAGTGCAGAATCAGGAGTAAGCACCTGAGGACCACTGGATGTGCCCTCCTCCAAAAGCAAGCAAAAACCCGGAGGAAAGATGAAGGCAGGTGAAAAGGTATTTAATGACACTGGAAAAACATAGCAGATGAGACTTACTTGATCTTCCATGGTATTTAACCATCTGCTTACTGAGACGTTTGCTCAAAATTGTGCTCTTCTCCTAAACTCTTCCCCATCAAAGCATAGATAAATGCATCTGAGCAGCCATGGATAACTGCTCTCACTTCATTTCCTTATATTCCCTACTGATAGTAGAGATGGAACTGTCATAGTGACATAATGTTGAGCTACATCTGTGTGACACTCTTATAGACCCCCAAACCAAGGAGCCATTGGTCACAGTGGATCAAAAGGAAACTTTCAAAACAAAGCATGTACTTGAATACTGGGGTGAAATCCTAAACTTGTTTCTAGCAGTAATAGCCAAACTACGTAACGAGATGCCAACAGACTTGGATTCTAAGTGTGAGACATTTTTATAGCCTCAGTTTCCTGAAAGCTGGGCTTTGGGCTCTTGATACAAACAAGCAGTGTGATACAAACAGCACCACACGATGAAAAGGGTTTCAAATTGGACTCTACAGGTCTGCAGGAAGTTATTCAACCTCTCAAAGCTGACTCAATAAAAAAGTTATTTTTCAGCAATTATTTTTGGAGCATTTACTGGGTTCTGGGAATGCAGTAACGAGAAAAACAGACCTAATTCCTGTTCTTGGGGACCTTACCTTTCAGATACACAAATTAATAACAAGAAAACAAAAAAATATGTCGATGTGGGATGATGATGTGAGATAGCAAGAAACTCAATGAAAAGGTAAATAAATAGCACAGGATTAAGAAAGAGGATGGTTTTGCCACTTTAAATTAACTAGACAAATTATATCAACTGTGCAGATATTATGAGAAAGTTAAATGATCATTTATTTTAGCATTAACATCAAGAAGCAAACATTGTATTTATTCATTTTTGGAATGCTGAAAAGGACCTTGTTCTATAAAAATTAAGAATGAAACTTTCAGTTTATGTTTATGTTTCTGAAATGAGGCTCATCATGTCAATGGCTGCATTATTGCCAATTCTATTTTCTTTGATTTCTTTCAGTGATGTCTTCTTAGCTTGGAATGTGTATGCTTTATTGTTTTTTCCCTTCCACTCTGTGATGGAAACTTCATCCCAGGCAGGAGGATTTTAACAATTGTAAAAAGCTTTGCAGGAATCTCAAGATATGATGCCACGAAGCTTGAATCTACGGTTCATCTTTGTTCGTCTGCATTTGGGATTGGCCACGGGTCTTGGGGCTGGGAGGTATGAGGAAAAATTTGTTTGTTTTGGAGAGACCTGTCCACCAGGTGGTAGGACCTTCTGTCCAGGAAGTGAGCACTGAATCAATAAGGCCACTAGACTCCCTTTTCTTGAAGGATAACAAAGAGCTCCACTGTTCAGTCACATCCTCCTGGGGGAAAAAAATGCCTGCAGGAAGCGAGATCAACCTCTGCTCAGACCTGTCTTGGGTTCCAGGCAGGAACCTATCCCAAGGTTATATTCTCAGAGTATAGAACCTTTGAGAATATATAGATTGGGATAGGTTTGGGGGAGGCAGCAGGAGGTGGGGCAATTGGGGTGGATTTAGAAGATGAAGAGCTGATACTTTGGCTCAAAGGTCACACTATGCACTTTTCTACCTCAACATCAGGGCACAGCTTTATTGTAGATTGTACAGTGCTTGACCAAAAAAAAAAAAAATGGTGACAGATCATTACTCATTGTGATAAATAGTATCATGGAAATTACAAAATAAGAAAAATAGTTTAAATATTCCTAGGTGTCCAGTCAAAGAAGCCCTTTCCCATACTTCCCCATGTCATTTGAATGTGTTGTTCCATTTATCTCACTTAAAATCGAATATGCAGTGAACTTTTCCCCGAGTGACTTGTGATTATCAGTCTCTGAGATGGTCCCCCAATCCTCATCCCCTGCCATTCAGGCCCTGGATCAGTATGCGGCCAAGAGAATAGCACATGTATGACTATAATTTCAGAGACTGTGTCAGAAAAGTTTCTACAATTTCCATCTTGGTGAGCCAGTAGCCATGTCACAAGGATACTTGAGCAGCTCTTGAAGAGAGGCCCACATAAAAATCAGTTGGGGAGAGTGGACTCTGGCATGTAAATCAGTGACCTGGAAGTGATTTTTCCTCCCCAAACTGACCTTCCAGTAACTTCTGCTCTAATTCTAGCTAACTAACTACAGCTTCTAGAGAGACCCCAAGCCACCACTCAGAGAAGACAGATGTAAATTCCTAAACCACATACTTGTGAGAGATAGTAAGTGATTATCATTTCAATTTTACAGAAAATAATTTATTGTCTTATTCAGAAATTCACTGATATCTGTGTAATTGGTTTTTTAGGGGGAAAAAAGAATACTAGGGTCCAGGGATATAGCGCAGAGGTTAAGATGCTTGCCTCACACCATTCTGACTAATTTAAATTCCTGGCACCACGTCCGTCCCTTAAGCCCACCACTGGGAAACCCCTAACCACAAAACCAGGAAAATCACGCATAAACCCGAAACCAAAACATATAAAGAAGAAAAAAATCATAAGACATTCTGAGTTGCCAGGATTGAATGGAAGAAAACACAGTCAATTCATTCCACCCTGAAATCTCTTCAGATGGGGCACTAGATTCCAATGAATACTTTACCATTTTCCATAATACTATGTGAGTGGTGTGCAAAAATTATGATCAAAGATTGGACTTGAATTTTGAAGTGGTAATAAAGATCCAATATTTGCCTTAAAGGTACTTTTCAGTATTCTAAATGAAGAAGTCTTGTAAACCTCTGCGCATGATCTTATTGATGTACTGGGTTTTATGTGTCTTTATGTTATGCAGATGATATACTAACCGCTATTAGTGAAAGGTTTCATGAAAGGTCAGCATCAACTCTTGGGCCTTTCTGCTTGCTATGCACATCGTCTGTCCATCTCTTTGGGTTTCTGTCTACAGAGAAAGTCAGTGAGAAAGGAGAAGGGTTCTGATGGTTAGAAGATGAACCAAGAGTTTCTAAAGAGAATGAAAGGATGGAACAGAGCCATATATATACCAGCTGTACCATGCAGTTACCAAATTGACAGTAAGAAGGAGCAGATCTAGTCTAGTAGTAATGAAAGGATGGAACAGAGCCATATATATACCAGGTGTACCATGCAGTTACCAAATTGACAGTAAGAAGGAGCAGATCTAGTCTAGTAGTAATGAAAGGATGGAACAGAGCCATATATATACCAGGTGTATCATGCAGTTACCAAATTGACAGTAAGAAGGAGCAGATCTAGTCTAGTAGTAAGTAGTGACTGCAGAATATTAGCTTCGACCTCACCACACAAAGTCCAGCTACACAAACAGGGGCTTAAATAGCACTAAACTAGAAGCAAAGTGTTCCTAGACTTGGAGTTCAGCCTGAGCTTCCTAAATGTCTCTTGCTGAGAAGACAAAGGAGGAGACTTAGAGACCAGGAACACTCCCTGTCCCTGAGTTCTCACCAGAGACATGAATTCTCCAGGAACATTCTGTTAGGACTGTTGTCACACGAATGACCTCAATTCATTCCCTTAGTTTTATCTGTGGCATCTCTTCCTACTATAGCCATCCTATTTAACAAATTACATTAGTCACTTAGAAATAAAATCAACCCACAGTATAAAAAGGGCTAAAGAAAAGCATACCTCTTCTGAAGGAAATCAGTAAGCTAAAGTAAGGCTCTCTTTCTCTCTATATAAATATGTATATATGCATCACGATCACGATCACAACCATCCTGTTGTTCGTCGATTGCCTCGAGCAGGCCCCAGTAATGTCTCCTCTATCCTAGCCCTGAGAATTTTTTAAAAAGTGCCATATTCAAGGGTCTTTCAGGGTTATTAGAATGAGACCCATCATGGTTACTGGTATTTGGCATATTGGGTATGCCACGGGGAGTTTGCCAGACTCTGCCGTGTGGGCAGGTTACATTTGGTACCCTGCCAATTTGTCCAAAGTAAAAATGAGATAATAAGATGTCGCTTCCGGGATCTGGGTTTTATAGTCTCTGGGTCTTGGCCGTTGATGGGATTGCACGGTGCCAGGGGGCCAGTTGGTGGTTGTGATCCCTGCCTACTGGAATATGGAGGATCTGGGTGGAGGATGCTCAGCTCCAATCCGAGCAGGCTTGGAGATCTCAGCCCCGGGACCTGCATGCCTTTGTTCCTCTGCTGGTACCTTCATGCTTGTGGAGAGTGGTCTCAGCATGGTGGTGGCTGGTTCTGGAGGTCTTCAGCTGCCAGAGCCCTGGTCAGGGTGGGGAAGAAAACATATATATATATATTTTCTACAAATGTTAAAGTTGGTTTCACCCCAGCCCCTGAAATAACTTAGGACTGTCTGGCAGGAATGGAGTCCAAGGGGTATTATTTCATCTGATTTGGTTTTGTTTTTCTTATGATTTGTGCTACAGGGAATTAAACTCAGGTCCCCATATATGCAGAGAACATCTCTGAGTTACATCTTTAGCACAGAGGGCAATATTTTCTATCTGCTCCCTGCACCATCTTGTATTGTGTGTGCGTGTGCATGTGCGTGTGTGTGTGTGTATGTGGTGTTGTTTGAGTACTACATCTGATGATGCTCAGGGCTGTACACCTGGCTCTGCACTCAGGGATCACTCCTGTTTGACTCAGGAAACATATAGGGTGCCAGAGACCCAAACCCAGTTCAGTCACATGCAGGGCAAGTGTTCTATGGGCTGTACTATCACTCCAATCCCATCCATCCCGTATCTAAAGATAGATTCTGTCCTCCATGTAGAGTGGTACTGCCTTTTGAGAAACATTTTCCATTGGTGAAGAATTGTTATTGCCAAACGCTATTGATTTAAGAGAGGAAAACAGCACTTGTGGCAAGATAAACAGTGAGAGATAAATCTGCAGCTTCGGCTTTTGAAGATCCAACCATAATCCCAGTGGTTGATGCTGTGATATTTCTCATGCAGGATCAATTCCTCCCAAAGTCCTCCAACCTTTGTTCTAATATACTTGGAAGCAGGAACTTTGAAAGGATCAGGGGCAAAAAAAAAAGTCCATGTCTCGTTTTGGGATTTTTTTGTTGGTAGGTTCTCTCTCTCTCTCTCTCTCTCTCTCTCTCTCTCTCTCTCTCTCTCTCTCTCTCTGTCTCTCTGTCATCTCTCTGTCTCTGTCTCCCTGTCTCTGTCTCTGTCTCTGTCTCTCTCTCGTCTTTTTCGTCTTTTATTTGCTTCTCTTACTTTAACCTCTAGAGGGCACTAATCCTCAAAAGACTAAACTTAAACCCTAAGGCCTTCTGTTCACTCCATGGGAAGAGGAAAACCTTAGGAGTTGTTAATAATCGCTGAGAGTAATTTATGTTCGTGAAATTGAGTTAAGGACATTATTTGTACTTATAAATGGGGTATCTTCCTCCAAATAATATAAGGCCCCAGCTTTCTGCTACTCATCATGTCTTCTTAGAGAGGATCCCTTTCTCCCCCAGACCATTGTCTGTGTGCACCTAGGAGACGTCTGGAAAAAATAACCTGATATTTCATGATATGTTTAGTATCTGCTTAACTTCAGAAATGGAAAGAAATCAAGCAGTCCAGGAACCAGTTTTGAATGTTCAGAATCACCAGGAGGCAGTTGTGGTGAGTCAGAAGTGTGCTAGCAAACAAGGATGAAGGTTTTACAGATTGGCAAATTCTGGTTTCACCTGGATACCCCAGCAGGGCCCAGCTCTGCCTCTCCCTAGCTGGATGACATTGGACAAGTTATACAATTATACTCTGCAATACCTGGAAATGGCACTGGTGATTAATTTTGGACTATTTGGGAATTTAAGTTAATTCATTTGAAATAAAATAGTAAACTGAGCCTGAGAACAAATTCCAAAGACACATTCTTAAAAAAAATTTAGAAAGTCTAATCTTCTAGCATGCAAAAAATGAGCACTTTGCGTCACACCAAGTATGTGCTTTAGGGCAGATCCTCCTCCATTATCCTATTCTTTACCTTTCAAAATACCTCCTGGATGGCCCACATTCCTGCAAGCTTGCCTACGGAAGACCTTTCTCCCCCAGACCATTGTCTGTGTGCACCTAGGAGACGTCTGGAAAAAATATATGTCACATATATATGTGACAAAATATATGTCACATATATGCCCTCTTGACAAAACAAACAAAAACAAAAATATTTTTTTATTTATCTGCCATCCCCCAAACTACATGGAAGAGTAGAGGCCAAGAGATCGTAAGATAGCCACTTTATCTAGAGACCCCCAACTTCCCTTCATTTTTCACTCTGATTCCAGTGGAGGGGGAGGGAAGGAGCAGGAAGGGCTGAAGTTGATAGATCCCCAGAGAAGATCACTCTCTGGGCATAAGAAACTTACCTAACAGGAAATAGTCCCTCACTCCCATCTCAAGTACCTTGTTGTTTCAAGGATGATACCAAAGGCAAATTTCACGATGAGTAGAACAAATTCAAAAAACAAATCTGTAGTAAATTTACCTTTCTTATCTTCCAGATATTCCCCCAGAAGTCATTGAGTTGCTTGTATGGAGCAGGCCCTATTCTAAATCCTGAAACCTCGGGGTCCTTGTCCTTCAGTGATCTTTCTCTCTATAGACAGAGACAAGTAATAAACAAGCAGTGAGAACACAGTGGAATCAGGACCTTATGTTGGAGCCTAGTATCACATGTCTGGGACTGGAACTCTGAGAGAAGGGCATCTGGGCTGTATTGAGAGTGACCCACATCCTTCATCACTCACCATCCACAGCTGCCAAAATAAGTGGTCTGAACTGGCCTTTGCATTCTCTGTCCATGTGACTTCGGAGGCTCAACTTATTTGTAATTAGGGACTTCGGAAACTAAATCTAATCTGGGTCTATAATAGTGAGAATAGGCTTAAAAGCTTTTAAATGTGGTTTTAAACTTTATTCTTTGGTTTTCATGACAATATTTGGGTTTTATGACAATATTGAAGCTTTTAAAAATCTGGCATTTTCCAAGTCATTCAAGTTTCTCTAAGACTATCCTAGTATTAGCATTGAAAATCCCACCTGCTGGGAAATCCCTTGGTCCAGAAAATACAGAAAAGAGGCTGCAATAGCACAGTGGGTAGGGCGTTTGCCTTGCACGTGGCCGACCTGGGTTCGATTCCCAACATCCCATTTGGTCCCCCAAGCACCATCAGAAATAATTCCTGAGAGCATGAGCCAGGAGTAACCCCTGTGCATCGCCGGGTGTGACCCAAAAAGAAAAAAAAAATTACAGAACAGTTGGTTATCTTAGAACGTTCTGAATGGACAAAGCATGAAGGAATTGTACTATCCTAGAATGTAAACCCTGAGTGAGTAAAGTTGGTTAATCCACAAGGCCCAATTTATTTCCTAAATATAAATGTATGAATGTATGAAAGTATGTATTATTATTTGGACCATATAGCACACTAGGGGTTGAAGCATTCAAGGTAAACGGCCTACCTGCAGCATACTGCAAATATGGCCCATCACTCCATTACTCTGAGTCAACACCCCAGCTCCTAGTTAAGTTTCTTAATTTGTATCTATTTCTGTAAGACGATCCCTTCACCAAACTTCCTTTAGCATATAAAACATAACAATTACTCAATAAAAATTAATATAAATATTAAAAGTAAGAACAAAACCTTAGCATTACCCTGTCTCTGGGGGACCAAGTACATAGACTACTATTAAATGTTTTATGAAAAGTTTATGAAATCTTAGAAAAACATTGCTTTGGATCACTTTTAGGTGCTATTTTATTTTCATCCATTTACATATTCCTCATAACTGAGCTGAGTACCTTCATATGTCTTTCTAGTTTCTCCCTTTACCTTTCTGGTATCCTTTTAGGCTGGCCCTTTGTGTCTGATTCAGTGGACTTCCTGGCTGTCTGAATCTCAGTTGGGTTTGGTTCAACCAAGCTGGCTGCCTCTTTCAATTGAAGTTAAAGCTCCCGTCAAGAGACCCTTTAGGTGGAGAGAGAGTTTGGGGACCCTTCCCTTCCTGTCACTCCTTCAGGTTGCGACACATCAAGAGTTAAGCCAATCACTGATTTCTATAAGCGTCTTTTGGGGGTTCCCAATAGACTGACCATTGATAAAATTATCCTTTTGTAAACTCACGAATCTGACCAATTGAATGCATCTTTTGTTTCCTACACAAAGATCAAGTCAACGTCTAGTTCAGTCATTTCCAAACATTAGTCTGGGGACAATTCTAAACTGATCACATCAGAATCACCTAAGGTGTTGTTGACACTATGACTTCTGGTCCTCACACCTGGAAAGGGAATTCAGGAGTGTGATGAGACCTAGCCCACGTATTCTGGCACTATGGTGGAGAGGTTTTCCCAAGCTATTGAGTCCTATATATTGAGGGCTATTGAGTCCATAGCAGCAGTAGTTCAGGGTCTCAATGTGATTCTGAGGATAGTACTCAGGGCCTCAACATGCAAGACATGCACACTCCAATTCTTGGCGCTATCTCCCCAGCCTGCCCTCATTTTTCTAACTAATCCCCTGCTAGTTCTGTGGCACAGCCAGATCTGGGAAGAGTTCACTCTGAGCCCTCTGTTACAGCTGGGCTCAATTTCCTCATCAGTGCTTTTTAGTTCTTGTTTCACATTTCATTGTCTTCAGTTTCATTTAGGTTGAAAAAACAACAGTAACAAGATAATATAGCCCATACAAAAACTATAAGAGTAGGATGTTTTTTGCTTGTTTTTTCAGGTCTAGAAATATTGCTTGGGAAAGACTTAATAATAAATATTTAAGTGAATATTGAATGAATGATTTATTAAGACTATCTGAAAACTTCACAGAACTTCGATTAGCTCAAGTTTGTGACTTTAAGCAGAGTATGACCAAAGCTACATATTTGATTAAATCCCAACAATTAAAAGTAATCCTGATAGAGAAAGAAGAATTAATTAATGAAATTGAGGACATTTAATGTAACTATGTTTGCCAACTAGTGGCTTTGCTTGAATTTTTCTTTTTCTGTCTTTCAAGCCCTGATATTTATGACACAGGATATATTACTTTGCTCAAGCCTGCACAATTACACATATTCAGAGTCCTCCTGATGCCATTTTTAATCCAAAGATGGAGATGTATTTTCATAGTGTTCAAAAAATGTGTCACACAAATATAAACCCATGGTTGAGAAGATCTTTTCAACCCACTACCTGGTCATCTCTAGTACTCAGCTATTCCTCTCTTGCTTTTCTTTGTACCTCTCATTTTCCTCATTTTTTTTCAGTTGTTAACAGATAAATCTATCGGTTCACTTTTTTCTGACAATATGCTTCAACAATATACCTACCTAACTGACCTCTTTTCATGCCAAGACTAAATCAACTACAAATAAAGTTGGTTGGAATGTGTTCCAGAGTAAGAAACACACATCTCCGAATCTTGAAATTTATTGTACTGCTCATTTCCTTTGTGAATGGTATCTTTTATAAATGACCAGTCTTCATCATTGTGAAAATCAACAGTTGGGTTCCTGGTGCGTAAAACCCATTGATTGTCTAGGGCCAAGTGATTAAGAAAGCTTAATTGGGCTTAATTAAGAAAGCTTAATTGGGCTTTTCATACTGATGCATTTGATCAGACTTTATCTGCTTCTTATAGCTTTTCTATTATTTCCCTGCTGATAAGGATTTGCTGTGGTCAGGAGGTTTGCTCCAAAGGTAAAGTTCCAAACAAAGAACTATGCCATCACTAGGGCTTTTAGAGCAATGCTTATACATCTGCTCTGGGTCCTGCAGAAGCGGATCCAGTAGAGAACTTCTCAATGTGTTGTCATGAAATTAGAAATTCCTCAGAACGAGCAACATACTGATTTTTCAACTGATGTCTAAAATTATTCAAATATTTGAGGAAAGAATAAGAAATGTGCACAATTTAACTTAGACACTCCATCTGATGAAATATCTTATCTTGCTTTTCAAATATTTTCTTTTTTCTTTCTTTTTTAATTGAATCACAGTGAGATGCACAGTTATGAAGTTGTTCATGCTTGGGTTTCAGTAATAAAATGTTCCAGCACCCAGCCCTTCACCAGTGTACATTTCCCACCTCCAATCTCTCTCTCTCTCTCTCTCTCTCTCTCTCTCTCTCTCTCTCTCTCTTTCTCTTTCTCTCTCTTTCTCTTTCTCTCTCGTTCTCTCCCCCCATCAGAAAATTCCAGCTCTGGTTAAAGAAAGCACTGATAATGGATAAAGAAAGAATAGTGAGAATAGTGACTGTGAAGGTTACTTGAAATGACTTCTGAGGTAGTTCTAGAATCAACAGGCCTCCTTATCTCTAAAATTAGCAAGACTTACTAAATTTACATGTACTCCTGCCTGAGGACAGGGGGTGGATGCTATGGGTTCTCAAATTTCCTTCTAAGCTCAGGACTCAGCAATGTTTTCCCCACTCCGTCCTCCCATGCTTTAGACATGTCTAAGGTATGTTGTCCATATTGTAGCTGGTTTATGTTGGAGAATTACTTGGATTGCCAGAAGTGAATCCCTCTGGTATCTGAAAGAAATAGGAGCAATGAATTACAGGGTTTTAAAATATAATTTTATTTCTGATATTCGAACCCTGAGATATTCAGGTTTAGTAAACTCAACATTAGTCTCTGAACAGCATCTGAAATGACCATTTTCATTATATTCTGAGGAAATGCAAAATATTAGGGAAATACAAGCTAATAAATGATCTATAAGCTACCAAAATTCATGTATTTACAAAGAAATGTAATTGCCCTGGGGCATCTTGGACTAAGATTGAGAAACACAGATTCTAATCTTATCTCTTTTATCAGGAACCCTAAATGTCATTAGCACATTGCCTCGCCTTTCACTGTTTCACTTCCCTCTATGAAGGATCTGTTCGTCTCTTGTTTATATCTCAAGAAATATAAAGTTCAAGTCATGAAACACAAACTGTCACTTGGTGCCTAGAATTGGTCAAGCCAGATATTTGCTGTTCAAGAAAAAGAATTCTCCAATCACTAGTAGGAGGACTCAGTTACCTAACTAGGCCCTCTCTAAACTTAGTCATTCCACCCACCGCTCTGGGAGGAGTCCTCAAACAAATGATTCAAAAGATTTTCATTCAAAAATAATAATGAACCTAACAAGGCTTTCCTTTCATGCCACAACAGGAAAATCTCTATTGCCAGGGAGAAAGATGACTTGTTACCTGCATGGGTTGGCAAATGGGGCCCATTGCCAAAGGGGAAGTTTTTCTATGGTGCCACATTGGTCTGAAAAAGAGCAAAGATATGCTTAGAGCAAAGGTTTGCTCTAAGCATATATTTGCCTTTGTTTGGTTTAATTGCTGAGAAGTCAATCTAGCCAAAATTTCTTGCATTTAGCAATTTTTGTTGATTATAGTTCTCTGAATAAGTGTCAGGTAGCAAAAGACAGCAGGGGAAACCCAGCTTTAAGACTAAAGAAAGAAAAAAAACCATTAAAAGAACCAACTAATAACTTCATGTTCTCAAATAGAATTGCTTCAAATGATTTAGCAGGCATTGAAGATTCTATCTTGGAATCCCAATTCAGATTCTGGGATTTACAGGACGTTTCAA